AAATAGGTGCATAAATCACCAGATTACCTTGAATAAGAGCTGTATTCACTCGTGGCAGTGTAGTGTAGTGATAGCATGTGGAAATTAAACACGGCACGACAACTACTCAAGTTCGATTTCCGCTGAGGTGGTGAAGAGATCAGTTTGGTCGAAGTTGAAACTGCACTCCAATGCATCAGAATGTGGATGAGAACACCTTTCGTAAAGCAAGCTTACGTGAGATTTGATGGCATCGTGAGATCTGCTTATCTGATTATGGGAAAATGCAATTAACAGTCCTACATCACGTTAATCTTTCTAAGGTGATTATAATTTTGATATGAGATCTAGTGCTAGTTTACAAGCCACTTTATCTGATGATGAAATCTATTTTTATGTTTGCTTATGCATTCAAAGATAGGATTTGAGCCCGCTCAAAAAGAGGATAGAAATAGTTTTCGAGAATATTAGGAATTGTTTACTTTGAGCTTAGTCACTCTCCAAGCCACTTAAGATGAAGCAAAAACTGATGAGTATACCTCAAAATGCCTCAAATACATTTCACCCTGTCTCTCAGCCCAAAAGACTGTCCTCTCTCGACTCGACTGGACTGGACTGTTTGACGACCTTATTGGAACCGGTCTCATCGGACCCTCCGACGGGTATGAAAGCCGAGTTGTGTTGGTGCAATGTATACTTCAGAATGTGATTTACAGGCGCAAAGGTCAAAGTCGCATGGGCAATTGTGATGAAGAAAAGAGGAGGAATAGGAGGAAACCAGTTGGAGACGCGATACGGCCTCCTCAAACCGTCCCAAGAGAGCAGAGTTTTGAAGTAGTCGAATTTTCACAAGTTCCACATTCTGCTCGAGACAGTGTGAGGCTGGTATTCAGTCCTACAACGAAGGTGGACGTACAAGGGGTGAAGCCTAAGAGATATCATACTTATTCACCACAAAATTGACTTCATCACCAAGACTGCAAACGCTCACTGACGGTGTCATCTTCGATGCCGGCGAAATGTCTTAAAACATACCCTGTCCACGTTATGACGTAATTTAGCATGACTAATATGAGATGTATTCACCCAATTTTAAGGCGATGAAGGACTGATAGAAGGAGAATTTCTCCACAATGATATGAGTTGAGCTGACGTTTCCATTCAATTTCACATAGCCTTGCTTTCTCAAAAGTTGTTCTACTACTTAAACGAAATAGAGTGAATACATCTCATACTACTGATTTACGGGTAGTCACGAAAACAATACCTTATTCGAAAAATTAGCATGACAAGCATGAAAATAGAGTTTGACCAATGGGAGTCCCTCGACAATATGATCAATATGTCTTGGGCTTTGATGAACTTGGTACAGATATTTCTACTATATTCCGCTTACTCGAAACTACAAAGTTAGTTTTGTATATTCGCAAATACATACACAAATATATGCATACCT